GACCAAGTAGGATGTGCTCTTGGACAAACGAAAACAAGTTCAGTGGGCATTTCTTACCAAAACATTTGATCTGAAACTTGAATCTCCGCCTACAGTTATTAATGCCCGCTTTGTCTTACACAATATTTGTAAACAAACTGTAACTGTGGATGACAAGTCATTGAAATAACAGATCAGTTTAATGAAGCAAAATGAAGAACAATTCAAATATATTCCTGATATCCAGTGTATTCATACAAGGGAGACTGAATTGTAAGAAGCTCTCTGTTAAAATTCTTAATGAATGTTTGTAAATTCAAGCACCAAAAATTGTTGCTTTTTTGTGAACCATGAAAATACAGTATTTGCAATTTATAATGAAAATAATAAATGGATTTTATGCAATAAAAACAAGTCAATATTGTATGCTGATCCGCGACAGTTAATTTCGCGTTGTCCCCGACACAGGACGAAAAGCGCACCTTTAATATGCTATTAAAGTAGGATTAATGGTGTATTTTATTCGTGTTTAGTCGCACTTAAAGCGGCAGTGTCACCGGCTGCGCATCCGTTCTGCGCATAGATCAACTTGAAAAAGTTGACCCAACTTTTTCAAGTGTATCGAATTTCAATATGGCGTCTGCCCGGGGCGTCATGCTGACTCAGTACGAGGGTTCAAGGAAAAATGCTGGTCGAAAAAAGGTGTTTTCGAGCCGAAAAGAGTACAGAAATTTATGGGAGAAAGAGCACAGAAGGATCTATTTAAGTGATAAGACATTTGATACGTGGCAAGAGGCCAAAATAAGTGCTGGATATGAACATTCAAATGACACTAACTTTGCTGCACATCTGTTGCCATGGAATTTCGCCGCAGGTAGGTTTACAATATGATTTTCAATATATTTCGAAGAGTAAACGAGCCTAATGTGCAATTTATTTTGCTTTGTATTTAGGGGAATCAGCGTCTGCAAAAATACTACCAAAACAACGACGAAATTCAAGCACATCGATTCTGGACCTTTCTGGTGGCAACTGAGTCCTGTCTTGACAACGGAAGTAGAACACAATGAGTCTCATATGGTTTGAAGAACAAGCAAACATCAGCCAAGGTATGAAGAGGACATTCACTTTTATATAGGATGTGCTTTGTAATAGAAGTAATATTAATATTCAGTTTCAAAATAAGATTTTGCAAGGTATATAGACAGAAAAATTGTGTCAAAAATTATAAAAAGAATTGGTTTATATTTGTATATTAATTTACAGCATTGACCACAAGTATTAGTGCTGTATAATATTTCATATTTCCTGCTTTCAGAACCCCCAACATCTACACCATTAAAAATAAAGGTCAGATGACAAACCCTTTCTCGTGTTGAGTCACCTGTACAAACTACAAAGTCATGAGCCTTTCCAACAACAGAAGGACCAGGCAGTGGGATGTGAAAAGTGTGAAAGTTGAAAAAGGATTCGAGTGCATTCCAGTTCTCATTTCAAAGGTTATCCAACGAGCAACAGATTGACTGCATGATGATGGTTATGTCACCTGCCATGTTTCCTTAAATGCAACATTGCTCCCCACTGTTGCACATATATCACACCAGCAACATATATCACACCAGCAATGGTGTGGACATACCAAAACGAAAATACTGATTTTTGCCATAACTGATGTAACAGTGACACATTCCAATTTTGTACACAATATAAAAAATCTTTATTACTTACTATATACATAGGTACATAAATTAGAATATAAATTATTAAAATCAAATTCCCTTTGCTTTAGAAAGTTTACCAAAGGTTCATGAATATTATTGTTCTCTGTACCACATATAAACTTCAGTCAAAAGTCTTATTTTGAGGACTACACAAGAGGGGCAAACACTGCGATTCCCTTTGCCCAAATATCCGTGCCGAGCCCATGTGTGAACATAATCCGTAGTCCTTATTCCTCTTCCTTAGGCTTCTAATTGCCAGTTTTCTCACTGTGTCTTCATCCAGTGTATGAATAAATGCCTGTGAATTTAATAATGTATTTTATAATAAAATAATGAAATGACTATCCAACAGCTTTACCAATTTCTAGCATCAAAGCAAGATAATTGGTCTTGTATGGGTTTAAGTCATGCTATTTTTTCCATCACAAAGCCTCGCTTTGATATCAAAGCAAAGCTTTTGGTGAGAACAACAAAATGGCCTGATACACGGTTCACATGCACAAGCCCCATATGCATTGCAATTAGCTTCAATTAGAAGGTTAAGGGGTTGGTTATTTTTATTTACTAAATAGCTATTATACAAAATGTTAGGATATTTCACTTATATAAATATATAATTATGTGTCATTTGGCTAATATTCAGGCCATCTGAAATAGGAAAAATCAGATCAGCAACAATTTGCCATCAGCAAACAGGTCTACAGCATGTTAATCTGCCGCCCTGACATGATGTCCTGACAGGTCGGCAATCTGCCTTTGCGAAATTATTTCCCGTTTCAAATTTCAGTCTGTGCCATCACTTCCCAATTAGACTTTATACTGTATCACCCAGGGATGAAACTTGAGGGGGGGGGGCAAAAGTACAAATCATCTGGATTGGCAGGGCAATGAAAAAATTTAAATGATATAATGTAGAGTTATTCAGTGGCTTCCAGAGGGAATTGAATAGAATTTATAGACCTAAATTTTACAGATATTGGTAAAAAAAATAAGGGTTTCATGCATGTTTTAACAGGAATTTGTCCGAAAAAATATTTTGTTGCATAATTGAATTGGTTTATGTCCGAAAAATGTTTTCGCCCCTTTTTTTGAATGTCCGGAAACCGACCTCCCCCCCAAATTTTTCTACCTCCCCCCCACTCGCCAACATTTTTGGGAGAAATAGCGGCCAAAAAAATTTTTGCTGGAGGGCATCATCGACTTTCGCAGGGAAATTCTAGCAGACACCACCCAATTAAAAGGGGGCTAGTTTTGCCCCTGGTATCACCATTCAACAGTTTCAGCCAAAGTTATTCAACTTAAAGATGCAGTACAGTCAGATCTGTGCATCTGCTCACAGGAGGCCTCTTTTTATTATACAAACAGTTTATTTAGGTTTTTATTTCATTTTATATTCCTGCAAAGATTGATCGTTGTGTCTTGATGTATTATACTCTAGAATCATGAAAATATAAATAGTCGTCCAATAAAATTCAGTATTTTGGATACTGAAATGTAAACAAAGCCTTTGTTTACATACGGACTGTACCGCATCTTCAAACATGTTTAATATACCTCATTTTAAAAACGTTTTAAACAATTTAATAAGATGTATTAGAAATTCACAAACCTTACAGTATCATCGTTTTCTCAGTATTGACAGTTGGACGCTGTGTGAGGCCACGAAGTACATGCACTACATGGTACTTTCGCAAACGTTCTCCTACAACAAAGTAGGATAAACAGTAAATATAATGTGGTATAATATGCAAACACAAATAAAAGATACCGTCAAGTACATTTGATTCGCACACATACCCTATTCTTGCAAGGAGACTGAGGAGTTTTGCGAGTTCTCCACACTTGCAGCTGGCAGAATGCACAACGTTCTTTAATATTTGCCTTACGCGGGCAACCTCGGTTACTGTTCTCGTTTCTTTTGGTGGCACATGAACTTTTACAACTATAATTGTTAACCTGTGTGAAATGAAGCAATTATTTGGTCTTTTCCGCCGCCGAAAATGTGAATATATGCACATTTTTATAGTCGGAATGTTGTGATTCCGACCTTTTCCGACATATTCCGAAAATCGGTTTGTTATGCGCAGAACGGATGCGCAGCGGGTGACACTGCCGCTTTAATGCGTTTTATTAAAGAGATTAAAGGTGCGTTTTAACACCTTTAGTTCGTTGCATTAAGTGTATTAACGACCACATTAATACCCAGAGATTAAAGTTCAATAAAGGATACTAAGTGTGCATTTAATTCGGCCGATTAAAGACCGATAAAATGCGGTTAAAGATGTATTTAGTCGCCTTTAATATTGGTAGAATTGTTGATTAAAGACAACTTTAATCATACAAAAATGTGTTGCTTATAGATTATTATAGGTAAATTTAATCAGTTGATTAAAGACCGCTTAAAGCGATATAAAGAATGAATTAATCACATTTCATACAATGATTAAACTTTGTGTAAGTGCCATTTTAGTTCTATTTAGTCGCTCTATTATATTTGCACTAAGTTGCATCGCTTGTGACGTTGGGCTTTTTATTGCGCTTTTTAAATTGAAAATCTCGAATTTGTGTCATATTTTCTGACAATACAGTATTATTCATGGATCATGATTACAAAAACCCGGTTTTGCTTGACTCAAGGTTCATGCTTCGGTAATTATTATAAGAACATGTAAAAATCAGAGTAATCATTTGTAATGATGAAATGCAACATTAACTCAAATATACAACACGCGTTCATCTTTAAAATAAATTTATTATAACATATACATATACTACACCCGTTCATGTATGAAAATGAAACTAAAATTATATGTCGAACTGAAACATTTATAATAAGCCCAGACTAATCCTTTCTCGCATAGGGTTCTCGCGTACGATATTGTTATCTGTTTACAAGGAAATATAGAAAACACTATACGAAAACGGATTTGTGCGGACAAAGACCCAGCATAAAAACGGAACCTAAAATTATCACGTTTTGAGATTGGCTTTGTAAGATAAAAGTGACTAATGTTTGTGACTCGTTCTTTAGAAAATTCTTTTCAGCTGGCAAAAATTGTTGCCAATTTATGTACAATACACTGTAAATTTTGTAGTATACGAAGGTGTCTAATGATTAATAAAGGTCGCGTGCAAGGGTCAAGAAAGGATATCGGATGACAATAACAAACGGGATTGCTAGACAATATACAGGACAAGAATATAGTGCATTGAGTGCAGGGAACTAGAATAAGATTTAATAAAGTGATTTGTTTATACTGCTTGCGTGTCGTGATATATTACATTGGTGCCGTGACCAGGATGACTACATCAACAGCGACAACAAGAGCAAATTTGTTATCTGTTCCTGAAACATTTTCAGACGGTGATTTTGGACTGTGGTTACGAAAGTTCGAGCTGTGTTCGACGGCAAATGGTTGGAAAGAGGATGAAATGTTGAAGCGTTTACCGACGCTATTATCGGGCAAAGCGTTTGTAGTGTTCGAGCGGCTTGGAGACGACAAGAAGGAAGATTTCAAAGTCCTTATAGCAGCGATAAAGGAAGCGTTCGGCGGCGATGAAACAAGCAAACATATTGCTATGATGGAGTTTTGTCGACGTGCGCGCAAGCCTGGAGAGGACATTCAAGTTTTCGCGTATGGGTTGGAAACATTGCTCAGCCGAGCGATCCCTAATATCGGGAATGACGAGAGAGATACGCTTTTAAAACAACAATTTATTGAAGGATCGTCTCCTGCGCTAAAACGGGAGCTATTGCAAAGACCGAGCCTGAAATACGAGGAGACCGTCAAGATTGCACAACAATTAGATTTGACACCCGAGCTGTCAAGTCTAAATACTGATCATGATGTGAACCTGACGAGAGTTCAGAGAGAGAACGTATCTAGCAGCGAGTCAACAGTGGTGCGCCAGTTAAAGGAAAGCGTTGAGCATGCGGAAGGAGAAAAAAAATTAGGGGGGCGGAAAGAAAATTGCCCGACTTTTCGAATTCTGCCCGACTGGTATCAAAAAAATTTTTCCGGAAAAATTATTTTGGCGACCTTCCCCCGCCCCCCCGTCGCCAAAAAAATTTCGGTCAGTGTACCATTTTAGGGGTCAAAAATTTTTTCCGGACAACCAATTTTTTTCGGAACATAACACAAATTTTCGAAAAATCGCAAAAATTTGCCAAAAAATTGACTTAATTTGGACAAAATTGACAGAATTTGTCCCATTTTTTTTATTGCAAGCCAAAATTGCCCGACTGTTGATCGCATATTGCCCGACTGCCCAAAAAACTGGGGGGGCTGCCGCCCCCCCCCGCCCCCCCC